TGTATGTATATATATATCCCTTTCATTTCTAGTATGTTTAACTTATATTGTAGGCATGTAAACGACAGGCACACCATAGGAACTATGCTAATGTAATTTGTTTATCTACTGTCTGTTTTACTTGCTGTATGCATGTAAACTACAGCCACTCCATAGAAATTCCGAAAGCAAAGGATACCATGAACGACGAGTGCATCAATTCCAGTGCCATCGAACTACCGGCACATCTTTTGCAGGTATTCATTTGTGCTCGCACCTTATTCTCAAAGTTCGAGTGTGCATCAAGGTCACACGAGTAAAATTGATGAGTAACTTATCCTTTTTATGTGAAATTGCACGACACGTGCTCACAGTATGAATGATATTCTGGTATGATGCATAAAGATCACTAACATTTTGAAATATACATGTGTACATGTACTTTTACAAATTGGTATATTTCTGAAGCAAGCTGGATATAACTGGCTGTACGCGAAAACTGCCATTATCTGAATATTGTACAAGCTCTTGACATACGTCAGAGGAGCGTCAACACCTGCACACAAATGGCTTACGTCAGAGGAGCGCCAACACCTGCACACAAATTCCAAAAAAAAACTTAATGTACTCAGAGATCTACAAAGCACAAAGTTTATATACATAAGGCAAATGAACATACACGGCAACTATGCAATCTTCCACACACTAACGGTGTGGTTAACTTGAGGCCGGGACTATCAAAGTAGATTCGGATATTTCGTGACACGTGGTACTTGATGCCTGTCTGGATCACACCAATTACCCAATTACTGCATGCTAATCAATCTATCTCGCCTATTGTAAAACTGTACTGTATTTTAAGATACATGTAATATACACAATATATATTTGTAGCTTACATAGATAAAGTCAAATGTACGCACCTTCATGGCAAGGAGTGGTAGGAGAGTACAGGACAAGTGCATTAGTGGTGCTATGGGCTTTGAGCTGGCTCATGTGTGTACTGCAGTGATGATTGCATTTCAGCTAAAGGGTCGATATCACATGATATTATTCAGAACTCATATGAGCCACGTATACACAGCTACTAACATCATGTTTGCACTCCCTAATGGTAGAGGCAGATCGAGTTGGCATCGAACGCTAAACGTGATCCGGAGACGTCCTGTGGTACCGTGGTAGGTGGGGACTGGAAAGGGCAGTCGACAGCGAAACTAACGGAATCATTTTGGAACGCTTTCGATACACTTGCTGCACAAATAGCTACAAGTGCACAAGGACTTGGCACATTTGAAGAGACTCAATTCAAAACTATAAGTGAGAAAACCTGCCGAGATCTTCCTCATATTGAAGTGGGCTTGGGTGTGAAGAAAGGCAGCATGCCTAGTCAACTTGGTGCCTTTGGTAATAGCACCACTCGTACAAAGTTGAGTGATGTACGCGAGACCCTATTAGAAGAATTGAGTCAGATGGTCAGTGGGCACGTGGATATACTGGCGGCTTACGACATGGGGCGTGCGCAAAAGAGGTTAAAGGAACTGCAAGCGTACACGCGCAAGGATATTGGCCGCCAAAGCAATGCGAGGAGTGATATATCAACGACCGCAGCAAACGAAAGCTCCGAATCGCAGAACAAGAAAACATTAACTGACGAGGAGGGGTACACAACCGCGGATAATAAAGTTGCGGCAGGTGCTGGTGGCAGAGCGGTTTGTCTGGGGGATTTCCCAACAGTTGCGCCAGCCAAGAAAAAGTTCGCCTTCAAAAGCAGGACCCGAGTAGCTACGAACACCAACTCGGATATCCCCAAAGTATCTGTGACGACAAGCTCAGAGTACAAACATGCAGAATCAACCGCACCTGCAGCACAACCCATAAAATCGCTTAACGATACGCGTTTTGAGACAGACATCAATGCAACCACGGACAAAACGTACTCAGTCACGAGAACAAAAATTGCAAAAACAGATCAAGTGTCTATCAATGTGCAGTGGGGCGAGGGTCGGGAGATCAGTTTAAGCGGGGATGAGCTATCCGGAGAAGTTTGCTTATCACACCTCCGAGATTGTACGGTTTACCTAAATGGCCGAGTCTCTACCCTGCGAGTGCGCGACGTTGTGGGGTGCCGAATATACACTGGAGTTGTAACGCAATCGGTGATGGTATTCGACACAAAGGACAGCACTGTACAAACGGCTTGCGGGCAGGTGAGTGAACGCCATTACCACTTGAATAATACTGTGAGTGCAACATACTGGAGCTCAGGTGTACAACTCCTGGTGTGTCTACTGAGTCATACGCATCCATGCTGGAATATTTGTTTACGATTTCGATATTGCTGACATATTTGAACATCGATCTGCAATATATACCTATACGATCGAGCTGTACATATCACTTATCAATGCGTTGCTTCATGGCGTGCTCAGATCTGCAAAGGGAAATATAGCTCTCTGTGTCTAGAAGGGCTTAATCCGGGGATTCGCATCTGTCTCAGCTATCATAACTCGCAACCTGACAGTAGGCTTTGTCTCTCGTTGTTCTCCATATATGTATAGCTCAGAATTCACGACACGATCAAGACCGACTTCTTCCTGTTATTAACCAGCCACCCCATCATCGAGGATTGCAGGTTTGTTTCGGGATCGTCTGCACTGTTTACTTACATGCGTTTGCTCTTTTTTGCCGATGCTGCGATCGTATGCTTGCAATTACAACACGATTGGTGCGTGTATTGGGTTCGCACAATTTGTCAAGCGTAAACAATTGTTATTGCGATGGTATGGAATCCTCTGCATGTTACTGATTCACTACAATTCCGTGTTCAAAGCGAGCTGCGATTTGGTAGGTACACCTACGATTTTGAGGGCAACGAAGCGGACATCGAGGTATGTCTATTTCAGAACCAAAACCAGATCCGAGCTAGTGTCCGTTGTAACGCCTCACAACCCAATCAGCTTGAGGTTATATGTTTCTTCAATGAACTGTAAAGGTCTGCATGGATCACCACTATAAGTCAATCATATTTTTTCAGGATGCTCTCCCTGTATATGCTCACCACATCGAGTCCAAATGGCAGTGGACTTGAAAAGTCGCCCTAGGTCCATGCTTCATTAGGTACACGCTTCATGGTATCTAAAATATTTAAGTACTCGTTTCGTGGTAGTTAAAATATCTTAGTACACGTTTCATGGTAGTTAAAGTATCTAATATGGCTACCGTCATGTATATCTTGTTCCAAAACAGGAACGCGCGTTCGATCGGAATAGTACATTATGGAGAGAGGTTTTGGACTTCAAATGGCAGCATCCGGGAAAGCCTTCCCCTAATTGGAAACTATACGCAGACACGGAATCTTAATAGTCATTAAAATATATTCTTCTAGTAGGGTTGCGCTGCAGCCCTGTAATCGTATTTCCTGAGGCTACGATGGTCTGTCATGCAGCTGTTTGTCGTCATCAGTGAACGGCGCCTATACTTGGGCAACTAAGCAAGTGTCGGAAATCAATCTAAGTCGAAGAACGATCTGTTAATCAGATACTCACTGGCCCTATTGCAAGAGTGACACCCCTGTCCCATTTAACCTGAACTGTCTGATGTCTACTTTCATCGGATGACTGACATTTTCAGAACTCTGATACGGCAGGTAAGACCGATTGTAGCATATAGGAAGAAAGTCCGAAAGATAGACGAGGATGATAAGTAGGATAGACGTTGCCCACGCTACTTTGTACCAAGGTAGTGTGGATGAACAACTCGGGTTTCTCGGCTACAAAGTTGTCGTGGTTGTGTAAATTATCTCGAGTAAAATACTTCCTGTTTAGACCTCTTCAAAAGATAAGAACGGTTGGCCTTTGCCGGTAGAATTTTAATTGCTTGTGATTTTGTTTTCGCATCCGCAAGTGAGTCTGGCGGCGTGGGATATCACTAACTTTACGGACGGACATACATGGCAGGACTTCTCCGAAAAAGACATGTGTCGGCGTAGGGTGCAGCAGAGAAAATTGCTATGCTGAAGCATAAATTGATAGTTGTTCGCTAATTTTGGTGTATATGCACAGATTTACCTATACGAACATACATGCATCTATATACATATGAACATACACACACACTTCATTTACAATTAGATTCAGAACTGGGCAAAATTTCTCAAACAGACAGAGACATTAGCACACAAACCGAAACATATACACACGCATATATATATATATATATATATATATATATATATATATATATATATATNTGTGTGTGTGTGTGTGTGTGTGTGTGTGTGTGTGTATATATTAT